AGGAGGTTTTAATAGAACACTTTCTTGAAAGGACAGGACTAGAAAGAAACGACAGACACAGAAGAACTACACAACACCATCAATTAACTTGACCTCATAGATTTATACAGAGCACTCAATTCAACAACATCACAATGCACATTCTTCTCCAGTGCATGCGGAACATTCTCCAGAATAGACCATATGTTAGGTCACAAAGAAAGTCTAGGTAAATTTAAAAACATAGAAATACTACAAAGCATCTTTTCACATCACAATGCTATAAAATTAGAAATCAACAAAAGGAAGATCAAGGAAACAAAGTCAAATACACGGAAATTAAATAACACTTTGCTCAAAAACTACTGGATAATAGAACAAATTAAAAACAAACTTTTTACATTCCTTGATTCAAATGACAAATGAAAATACAACATACCAAAACCTTTGGGACACAGCAAGAACAGTGCTTATAGAACTATTTATAACAATAAATGCACACATACAAAAAAGATGAAAGAACAGAAATCAACACACTAAGACAACATCTCCAGCAATTAGAAAAGCAAACTAAGCCTACAGTCACCAGATAGAATAAAAATTAGAGCAGAAATAAATGAATAGAAATCAGAAAAACAATAGAAATAATCAAGACAAGAAGTTGGCTCTTTGAAAGGATTAGTAAAATTGACAAACCGTTGACAAATCTAACAAAAGAAATCTAACAGGGAAAAGGCAGTCAGGATTCTGCCATCTTTAACAAGCCAACCTTACCGTTCAAAATGACCTTGCAGCCTACTGTGTGTGTGTGTGTGTGTGTGTGTGTGTGTGTGTGTGTGTGAGCGAGCATCATCCTGTTTAGAAGTTTGAGCGAAGAACTGTTTTTCTGGGCTCCCCAAACCTTCCTGATGCCATTATTCCCTTGTCTTGTAATGGTTTATTCTAGTTGCCTCTCATTAGAACCAGTTGAGGATAGTGTGTCTAACACATAGAAGACCACAGTGTATTTTATTGAATTGTTCAGCCTCTCTGGGAGATAAATATGAATCTTGTAACATTTTAAACCTTATAGACATATACCACCTCATATGTCAGGTTTATCCAGCCCCCAGCTCCACCTCTGGGAAACTGCCTGTCTCCAAGTGCTATGCTTTCGAGACCTACAGAAACAGCAATATCACAGGGAAGCAACATAATATCATAGTTGAGTCAATTGGCCTTTCTCTTGAATTTTGAGTTATTCAAGTTTAATCCCATTAACATTATGACATAGAACTAGACATTATGAATGGTTCCAAATAAAGAATACAACAGGGTTGACGCTTCCTGTGTGATGGACTTTCCTTCGAGTCTTGCTTTTTATCCAGCAAGTGTGGACTCTCTCCACCCCCAGCAAAAATAAAAATCCATATGGCCTTCCACTTGCAGATTCCAGATCTGGTGACCACCACTGGAGAACTCGAAGCCCTTTTCTCAGGATTCAGATTTTGGAATGGACTCTAGTTGAGATGGTGCGCCCTGTGGAAGGTTTCCGTCCCCCTCTTCTCTCTCAGTGCAGCCCTGTTCTGCACCCACACGTTTTTCCCCTCCCCC